AGATAGATACATCCAGGGTTAACAATCGTCTCTCATCAACTTGTGCTCCTTTCCGTGTAAGAAAACCATGCCTCCGAAGAAACGTAACCAATCCACTGGCAAGAAACCGACTCTCCTATTCGATGAAGCTACATTCCAAGCTGCAGTCTCGGTAGCCGTAGCAACTGTCATGGCTCAAACTGAATGCTAACAATGCCAATGTTAGCAAGAGCCCTATCGAGAATTCCGATCTAAGTAATGGACAACAACAACCAACACCTGCATACCCATCCATCCAAGAACCTCAACCAACTCCACTGAAGAGAGAGTTCAAGAGAGAGGAAGGAAGTACCTCGACACAAGGACCTTCCAAAAGGCAACAAGCTGCGGTAGTCAATACCCCTGCCAACCTTTCCATCCTGACACCTGGAAGACCATACCTAGGAAGCCTTCCCCACTGCAGCAAGTGTAGCTACCATCATCATGGTGTCTGTCGAGAACTCTTGTGCGCTAGGGTGCAACAGGAAGGGGCATACCTCTCGTACCTGCAGAGCCCTGGTTGAGTTCATTACATCAACCACCAATGGGGTCCAATACAGTTTGCCATCTATATGGTGAAATTGGGCACTTCAACAGGGACTGCCCAACTGAAGGAAGCGACAAAGGCACAAGAGGATTCTAACCCTAATACCTAGGGAGAAGCATCAAGGAAGCCAGTAGAAATTTTGCTACGTCTCTCAAACTCAGATAACTAACCGAAAACATTAACTGAAAACATTAAAAAACTAATTCTAAGTGTAATTACTCTCCCGTTAAGGCGAAAGTCGCAGCACTGTTGTAAGAATTCAAAATTTCATCAGGTAAGGCTATAATGGCTCGGTATATACGTTAAAGCCATGTATAATGAAGATGGATAGACCTCGAGTGAGTTATGCTGCCTCATTTCCTGTTCCTCGTTTGGTTGTGGATTTAGGGCGGTGTCACTCAGTCAACAGTCCTTCCCACCTTAATTATACATGACTAGTGTATGCTAAGCGATTATAGAAAGACCTCGTGAGAATCCATTCATGAAAAGTACATTATACCGAAACCTCAAGACCCTCTATAGTTTCCACGTCGACTCTATCAGTCCAAGTATCCGCGACAGTGATACACAGGGCGAAATCCGAGACACCATGAACTTGTGCGCCCGCTCAGCTCATGGACCTATCGACCCTCATTCTATATCATGTCGATGTATGCCAACTTCGACGCCTCTATCAATCATGGTCCGACTCAGTGCAACCATGTGTAAATTCCTAGTGTTGTGTAAAAAGAACTTTCACCGTAGCCATTTCGGCAAATAAAAGTTCTTCCTAACTTAATAATAAAACCTAATGCGATCCGTCAGACGTCTCCCTCATCTAAAACCTTCCAAAATACCACTGAGTAGGGTATTGCACGCTGCTAACCAACCCTTCCTTAGACAAATAGAACTCGAAGCGAAAGACACTTCAGGCATTCCAGAAGACGATAACCACCCAAAACCTACTCCGTAGATCCCCAGACAGACCCTTAGCACCTCACAATCAGGTTCGTGAATCAAGTGGAAAGAACTCATGGGATTGACTACTAGTAACTGGGTATATGCATAAGAGTGGTATATAATTCAGATCAAAAAGATTTAAGATGTGTGCTTCCTCCCTACTCCCTGTTCCTCGTTATCAATAATATCTGGGTTAAATGCAAAAAGTGGCAATGTAGTTCTATTGATTTCTATTAAAACTTTGGACTTTGAAAACTCTACTCAATACTAGCGATTTCCATTCAAATACATCGTAGTTTTCATTGTTACAGTTGGTTAGATTTTTAATGTAAAATGTCCTAAGAGGAATAGAATTCTAAAGGAATGTCATAATCAGGCACATCTTTTTATATTGCACTGAGTTAGTAAGAAGTTAATGATATCATTTGCTTGATCAAATAGATAATAGTGGATGATATAATTTTGTTCCCTCCTTGATCAATGCATTCTTTTCCTTGTCACCAACAAATATATATGGGATATATTTTGACTTATGTGGTTAATTTTTATACAATTTAAGTTCATAATTTATTCAGTAATATGTGGGTGACGTATGCTTTTAGTCTGTCAACTGTTTATAAGAAACAAGTTGTTTGTTTTTTTTAATGTTTTTTTTAACTTGATCGACTTCAAGAGAACGAAATTTATCTGCTATGCTATATATGGATGTTCCTTTTTTACTTCATGCAGAAAAATGACATAATAGAGAAATGAAAGGAAATGAGATCATTAGGCGCTAACTTTTAGGTAAATATTCCAACAGTGTTTTCCTAATTTTTACAAACCCTCAATCATCTTTTGTAGGGCTTCATCAGCAAGAGTATCAAACAACAAATATATTGGGTTAGAATGAACTACCTGAGATTGAATATTTTAGGCTTTAGACAAGTAAATTTGTTAATGTATTATTGAGTGCGTCACAAGTAAAGTTTTCAAGTTGGTTGTGGCCTTGTGGGTGTTTTTATTTGTATTGTTGATAAACAGAAATGGTTTGAGTATGATAATCAACCATGGTTAGTTTATGTTTTATTTTTGGTAATCATATTTAAAATTTGGCTTTTGATGTTTTTGTAATTGTTAGTTGATCTTATGTTCCAACCTCAAATGAAAAAAATGGTGTTGGGTCATCTTCCATTCATAAAGTTGATTTCTACTATGTTCGTAAACTAAGCACAGAACCTGAATCCTAAGTTTAAGCAATTGAAAGATCATGGCAGCCACTTATTTTCTTGATAAAATCGACTAGAAGCTGCAAATATGACAACACTAACATCCTTTTAGAATTGTGTGCTACTGATACATCAAATACTTCCACCATTAGTACTTCAGGTTAAAGCAGAGTTGAATGCAAAAAATAACAATGTATTTTCATTGACACGTATGTTAAAAAAAATCTCCATTTCTTTAGATAAATGGCATAAGAAAAATCCATTCCAGAGTATATGAAGAAAATTAGGGATCAAAACTAAAAAATTGGATACATATTAATTAAATTACAATAAAAAATATCAGAAGGTAAATAAAAATTAACCCGTCACAAAGATGAACTCAAATTTATTTAATACATTATATATAACTATTAAAAGAGAGAATACGAGGATATATTAATGTGTTCGATAAGTAATGATGAAAAAGTAGAAAAGAAATTAAGGCATTACGTGTTGTAACAGAATGCTAATATAACTCAATTATTGGACAGCTTTGGATCGGATACCATTTTCCACTACACATGCCGACACAGCGACAAATTAATATCCAATATCCTTGTGGCTTTTTTCTCTCTCTCTCTCTCTCTCTCTCTCTCTCTGCTAGCATCTCATATCTTATCACTTCCTCTCTTTCTTCCACCATTCATCCACTTTGCCTCTCTTCTCAACAGTGAAAATGGCGGAAGGTTTAGTGACTATTGCTGCCGAGGGGATACTGAAAAAGGTATTGTCCATCGCTGCCAGCGAACTTGCCATTGCTTGGGGTTATGAAGAAAAGCTGACCAGCCTTCACAGAACATTGGATCTGATTCGTGCCAAGTTGCACGATGCGGAGAGTCAAAAGGGAACAGAGGCTGTGATGGTGTGGCTGAAGCAGCTAAAAGATGTGGTGGGGGAAGCTGATGATGTGTTGGACGAGGTTCAATACGAAATGTTGAGGCGTCAGATAAAGAAACCAGATCAGGTGGCTAGAAAGGTATCGTGCCTTCCAAGATTGAAAAGGTTTTCATTTCGTAATGAAATAGGTCATAAAATCGAAAACATCAATGAAATGTTGGATATGATCAATACACAAGCAAACGGTTTAGGACTACAAAATGAACGCCCTGTTGGCCCTGTTCCGGATCGCCTCTATCGGGAGACTATTCCACATCCAGAAGAGTTCAAAATTGTTGGAAGAGATGATGATGCACTGCGTATCATAGAGCTTTTAACCCAACCAACAACGGAAGAAAAACTTACAATTGTTCCCATTGTGGGAATGGCCGGTATTGGGAAGACAGCATTGGCTAAGTTGGTCTACAATGATAAGAAAATCGAGCAACATTTTGGTGTGAAAGCATGGTTGTGTGTGTCGGTTAAGGTTGACATCATAACTCTTCTTGCAAAGATCTATGAATCTCTTGCCGGAAAGAAACCTGAGTCGGACTCTAAGGTCAATTTAATCAAAAGTCTGGAAAAGGAGTTGGGATCAAAAAGATATTTGCTCGTCTTGGATGATGTTTGGGTTGAAGAGAGGCCATATTGGGAAGAGCTTAGGAGATGTATGCTAGCTGTAAACTCACAAAATGGAAGTGGCATTCTTGTCACTACACGGAAACTTGAAATTAGAACTCATGATATGATCATGGATTCGTGTCATCTAGAAGGTCTTTCCGATGTCGATTGTTGGTCGATCTTTAGAGAAAGAGCGTTTGTGGCAGGAATATCACCGTCTCCAGAACTGGAGAAAATTGGGCGTGAGATTGTTAAAAAGTGTGGCGGTTTACCATTGCTATTAAATGTAATAGGTGGTATGTTGACAAATGACACGGATCTAGAGAAGTGGTTGTCCATCAAAACTAACGATGTTTGGGATCTAGAAGAAGGGAATAAACTTCAAAGGATCTTGGAACTGAGCTTTGATAATCTCCCAAATTCTATTATCAAGCAATGTTTTCTATATTGTTCCATCTTTGTAAAAGATACTGTAATTGAAAGGGATGAACTTGTCCGACTTTGGATGGCTTTAGGGTTGGTTCAAGCCGATGAGAAAAAAAACAAGGAGATGGAGGATGTGGGAAACGATATTTTTCAAATTTTGGTTAGTAATTCGTTGTTCCAAGATGTTGAAAGGGACGAGGATGGTTACATCACTCATTGTAGCATGCATGATCTAGTGCATGATCTTTCAGTATCACTTTCCGAACATGAAAGCTTATGCGTGGTGGGTGGGGCGTGGGGCAAACGATAAGATTCCTGGTGTCGATCAGATTAAGCATCTCGCTTTTTACAAAAAGAAAAAAAATGAGGACGATGAATTCAATGCCAAGGTTTCTATGTTCATTAACACGGATACAATGGCTAGAACTTTGCATACGTTGTTCCTCATTGGATTGAACGAGAAGAAATTATCATTTCAACGATTCAAGTGCATGCGGATACTAAAACTCGAACATTATAAAATAGAGAAATTAGACGAATCAATTGGAGGGTTGGTGCATCTCAGGTATCTTAATTTGTCATATACGGAAATCAATGTTCTTCCTGAATCTATTGGTAAATTATACAACTTGCAAACTCTGAATTTGTATGATTGTCGTCTCAATGAGTTTCCTGAAGCCATGAGAAATTTGATAAACTTGAGATATTTCAAGTGTGACAAAGACATTCCAGCCAATATCGTGGGACGATTGATATCTCTTCGAAAATTGCCTTCCTTCACAGTTCTTGGAAAGGAGGGACACGGTATTGAAGAGCTAGGCCATTTGAATAACCTTAGTGGAAAGCTTCGTATTTTCGGTCTAGAGAATGTTGGAAGCAAAGAGGATTCTGTTAAGGCAAATTTATCTGGAAAAAAAAAATTATACGACATTGAATTCAATTGGAGTAGCAATGGCGGCAACAGAAAGGACAAGGAAGTATTGGAAGGCTTGCAACCCCCTGGAGATGTGAAAATATTAACAATTATGGAATTTTATGGTAATAATTTTCCGGAATGGGTAATGAAGATGGCAATCAATATTGATGGGAATGAGATGCCCCTTGACAAGCTCGTGTCAATCAGATTAGATGGATGTAGAAGATGCCTCTCTCTTCCGACACTTGAAAACCTACCACATCTTCGGGATCTTGTCTTGGAGAATATGAACAGGTTGATATGCTTAAGGAGTTCCGATGTTACCGGATCAACGAAGCCTTTGTCTCCATCGTTGAGATCGCTCCGACTAATACGTATGGGAAAACTGGAAAAGTGGATAGATGGAGAACCCAACAGCTCAAAAATGATATCGCCTGTCCTCGAGAAGTTGGGAATTTTTTATTGCCCAAATATTATTCACATAGAAGAATGCCATCCCCATCCTCTCGTCTCCTTGGAGATATGGGACTGCACTGGTCTTGAGTACATTAAGAGCATACAAGGCCTCACATCTCTTGTATCTTTAGATATTTCCTATTGCGAGAGTCTTTTAGGAATAACCAATTTGCCCAATCAGTGTCATTCTATGAAGAATTTGAGAATTACCGACTGCTACAAGCTGACTTCCTTGCCTCGGGAAATGTTTGACTGTTTTGCCTTCTTAAATAAGTTGGAACTTGGTCCGTTCTCAAAGGAGCTCAATTCTTTCCCGAGTCTCCCAGCCATCCAGAAGTTAAGGAACCACCTTCACTCATTAGAACTGATAGGTTGGGCTCATTGGGAGTCAATTCCAGAAGAAATACAATACCTCACCTCACTGACTTGGTTATACATAGTTGGATTTGGAATACAGGAACTGCCTATGTGGTTAACCAGCATGTCATCTATCCGCCATTTGATGTTCTGTGTTTGCAAGGGGCTAAATAAAGATTAGGAATACAAGAGCTTTAATTAATTATGTTATTTGAGTGTGTTGGTGTATAGATATGTTGTGTAAGAGACAAGTACAAAAGATGTGTCAAAGTCCAAATATTAATTGTATATATTTGATACTTACACTTTATACTAGATATCGAAAAACTCTTCTCTCACTTATTTCTTAAATCTACCAACTTTTAATCGCAATTGATTGACCAATTTGCAACAGCTGTCCATTTTTTTGAACGGCAACTGTATCATAAACTAATTTTTAGGATTGTTTTAATGATGGTTTACTCAAAACAAGTCACCATTGCAAATCAGATTTCACCAATTATGTCGGTTTTACATACGAATAGTGACTAGTAGTGTGACGGTCGAAAACTTTGGCCAAATGTCATATTTTATAATGTTTTTTTTATATATACTTTTACCATGTGTCGGTTATTAAGTGAGACCTAAAAATATATAAGGTGTCAAAGTTTCATTTTAAGGGATTAAATCTTATGTCGAAACCTTTCACATGAAAAAAACATGTGACAAGTGGTGCCACGATAAAAAAGAGTGATAAAATATCATCTTTTATAACCGATTTTTTATTTTATATGTATCTTTGCCCGGTGTCGGTTATTTAGTGAGACCTAACGACATATAAGGTGTCGAAGTTTCATTTTAAGTGACTCCCTCTAGTTATATATATATATATATATATATATATATATATATATATATATATATATATATATATATATATATATATATATATATATATATATATATATATATATATATATATATATATATCCTCAAAAGTGTTTTTAGGCAAAAAGACTTATTGATTTATGGTGGTGAGAAAATGACTTTTTAAAAAAAAAATTGTTTAGATTAGCTTTTGTGGTGGGAATGTCAATAAATCACAACGTTGTATTTTAAAAGTGTTTGTCTTAACTAATATATGTTTTAATGGGTATTTGTCTTTTACAACCCAAAAACTTATAATAAATGAGTTTTGAAAAGTTAGAAATCCTAACTTATTGAAATCTCATTATTTAAGTGTTGATGAGAAGTTATTTTAGAATTCATTTACATATTATCAAACACTTTTTTTTGATTTATTGACTTTTCAAAAAGCTAGTTAGTCAATAAGTTGTTTTAAATAAAATCCCAAACATCCGAGCTTGAAATCAAATAAGAAAGAATTATAAGTGTGAAAATTCATTTCCCAAGGGTTGTTTTAAGTGGTTACGATTAACTTCCAATTGTCAAATGTTAAATAAATATATAAACAATATGAAAAATTTAAAACACATGCATTTTTGTTAAATAAGATTGTAACACCCAAAATCAGAAAGACCAACAAAAGAAAGGAAAAGTTCTATGTCAAGAGTCAACTCGTCGAGTCCAGGGAGGAACTCAACGAGTCGGAGCAGGATCCGGGGCACAAAGTAAGTGATCGACTCGGCAAGTCAGCTATTGGACTTGGCGATTCTGGTTTGGCGAGAAAACCCTAATCCCGAGGGTTGTGCCCTATTTAAAGAACATTACATCCCCTCCCCAGCCTCTTTACCACCCTTTTGAGATCCAGAAACCCTAAATCGTGAGTGAGAGTCCTTGGAAGCAATTTGGAGTTTAGATAAGTGGTTTTTGTGAAGAGATCTTGAAGATCAAGAAGCTTGGATCAAGGGGGTTTACAAAGATTTGGATTGTTCTTCAGTTGGAGGTCATCTTGGAAGTAATAAGTTGTTACCTTCACCCTTTTTGCATCTAGATCTATTCTTGAATGAGATTTTGGGGCTATTTTGGTAAGATTAAGATCTATTTTGGGTTGGGGCTTAGATCTGAGGTTGCTACTTCAGTTCTAGGGTTGTGATGGTTCAGAATATCTTAAAGCAGCAGTCAATGAGTCAGTGGTGAAACCCCTTTGTCTTAAACCCTAGCACTAGAGTGTTTTAGGCCTTTAGCTCCTTGGTTTCACGTGAAGTTTGCAACTTTACGTGGGGGTTAGACTTTAGAAGAGTGGATCTATGGGTTGGAGCCCCTACATGGTTCGAAAAACCACTGTATGGATTGAGAGCTGAATGTACTCGGCAAGTCACATGGGTGTACTCAGCGAGTCACATGGGTGTACTCGGCGAGTTCTATGAACATGAGCATGGAAACGACGAGTTGAAGAACAATGTCACACCCCAAAACCACGAACGGTGGAAACGTTTAGGGGTGGAGGACGTCATGTACAGTATCACAACAGTGTAATATAATAAACAAGAAACAACATCATCCATTGCATTATAAGTAAAGTTTTAATACATGTGTGTTCTTCATTGTAATAAGACACCAAAAATATACAATCAAAATAAAAGACGAGACTTGTCTGCTCTGTCTTCTCAAAACCTGGCCTCCGTACCTGTCTACTGATGACCTGAGAATACGAGTTATTTTGAAAACGAGTATCAACTTTAAAGCTGGTGAATTCATAAGTATTTAAGTGTCATTGTCTTGTTTGTGAAAAATCTGTTATGAAGGCCATGTAAATCGTTAAATGAAAATGTTGATGTAAGTATGAAAAACCCTAGAAAATCCCTTATTTTCTATCAGTTTGAGATGTAGTCTTGTACCAAGACCCGAATGTTTTGTAAGTAAAATGATAGTTTTTCCTTCTATTGACTAGTACTAAAGTACTTAGTCTACTCATCGTTTATGTGAAAGTATCACAAAATAAAGTAAATAGGAAATGTATACTAAAGTAAATATTATCCCGAGGTACTAGGGCTAACACGACGTATGTAACTGTTAACCTGAGGTACTAGGGCTAGTCCCGTAAAGGTACTCCTAGTATAAGTAATAACCGTAGGCATCCGTAGATGTTCATCACCCACTGTTGCTAACAGATGGGTTCCGGAATGGTTAGTCCCGTCCGTATATCCCAAGGTACTAGGGATAGGGGTCCATCTAGGTATCCCGAGGTACTAGGGATAGGGTCCTGTCTAGATATCCCGAGGTACTAGGGATATGCAGGAAGATTTACACAGAAGGTACTAATAAATCACCCTCGCAATTCGAGATACCAGTATTCATGTTAATGTACACAATTAAGTGTATCTACGTAAAGGTACTCATGTAATTCGCTCATGTATGCATGTTCATGTATCATGTAAGTATATGTAAACGTACTCATGTATCATGTAATCAAATGTAAATGTACTCATGTATCAGGTAATGTACTGGTATAGACTCATGAATGAACTGACTCTTGTGTGATTCCTTGTAATAGGAATTATGTTTGATATCTCCAAATTATCCCTATGATAATTTAATGGAAGGTAATTGATTGTTCAAGTAGGTTTATACACTCTTACTACTCAAGGGCGTGAGAAACTAAATGAAAGTTGTAAACTATAACATCAATACATATATTAGAATTATAAGTGTACATGCATAGTTTAATTCAAGAATGTAAAATGGTTTTGTAAGACATCTTATGGGTTTTGAACAATAATTAACAATGACTTGATGTCATTTTTAATATACATTTCAAAGGTAAAACATTTGATAATAATGTGTTTTTAAGATTTAAAACCATTTCATGCATCACATTTTGTAGTATGTGAAATCTGTTAAATGACAAACACAGTTATAAAATACATAACAATGATTTAATAACATGTTTGTTTCTACTTGTATCCCCCCTTTAAAGCATTTAAAATCATTTAAAACATTGATTAGGGGTATGAACTCACCTGTAGTTGGTGATTGGGATGAACTGAACGGTATAGGATTGCTAGGTGAGAAGCGACGACTTGTACACACACTACGATCCTAATGAACATATAATCACACATATATGCATTCAATTAGACTTAAATCACTAATTGATAATGTTAAGACATCCTAGACACAATTAAACACTTTATATAAGTGTTTTAGGCCCTAAGGATTGCATCTAAGCTAATGTGGGACAAGGCACTTGTGTTTTAGGGTTCCAAAGGACCCTATATGTGAGTTTACTCCCCATATACCATCACACATGGAGTTTATGGTTGTAAATTCTTGAGTTTACGGCCGTAAACTCCCAACCAAGGGTGTATGGTGTGTTTTGAAGTCCCAAATGATCCCTAGAATTATTCCAACTTGGTGGTTAAGTCCTTGGAAGGGTTTAAGGTCTAGAAATGCTCCAATTAGGAGTTTACGGCCCTAAGGCCATTCCCCTTAGAGTTTACGGCCATAAACTCTAAGTATTGTGTGTTTTTGATGCTTTCAAGTCTCTTGCACATGTGGTATAGGTTCTAGGCTTCTGTTCGAAGTATATGAAGACATTAGGCACACTTTGGTGCCATTCTTTCATGTTTACGGCCCAAGAGCAAATCCTTGGCCGTAAACTCACTTTGATAAGTGATTTTGATGTGCTTCGGTCCTTAGATTAAATGGGAACAATTCCATGTAAAGGTCTAGGGCTTTAGGTGTCTAATAACACCCTTTGGTCCATTTCTATGGAGTTTACGGCCTAAGATACACTTGGGCCGTAAACTCTCATTTGTTTGTGTTCTTTGATTGTTTTCTTGTCCTTAATACACCTACAATTAAGTCTAAGGCAGTAGCATAACACAAGGAACAAGCTAGACTCGGTTTCGGGAGTTTACCGCCCAAGAACACCTTGGGGAGTAGTCTCCTAGATCTAGTGATTTAGCCTTCTAAATCATGTTATGAACACATATAAAGCTTTCTAACATTACTATAAAGAGTTACTCACGTTTTGGTATAAAAACCCGAAGATCCGTGAGAGAGAAAATGGCTTTTCTCTAGTTGGAAATGTGAATAATGAATGAATTTGGTTCAAAATTCTATTTATAGTCCTGGGATATTTTAGCAGAAAATATTTTTATTCCTGAAATGATCTCTAATATAATAGAGTGTTGGAATAACAGTGTTGCACAAAACCTTAGTGCACCCACTCTCCGGATATTTCCTGAAGTGTAAACCTTGAATTACTCAAACTTACGCGAAAAGTCTAAAATTTAG